GTTTTCAAACGTGGAAGCCGAGTACATTGTTGCCGGCAGTTGTTGCTCTCAGCTAATCTAGAGGAAGCAAGTTCTTCTTGAGTATGGGCTGAAGGTACATTCCAACCAACTCTTATGTGATAACACCAGTGCCATTAACATTTATAAAATTCCAATGTACTAGAAGTCGCTAGGCGCCCGCTAGGCTCCCGACCAGCGCCTAGAGCGCCTAGTCGGGGCCTAGCGGTGCCTAGAAATTATAATAAATATATAATTTTTTATTTATTTTTATAATTTCACTAATGAAATTATAACTTATAATTAATAAATCCATACATCTAAGTCCCAATAATATTATTAATATTATATTATAAAAAAAACTCCAACTCAAAATAAGTACATAACCACAATATAACTTCTTCTCATTGTAATTTTATCAAACACATTATCTACATGTTATGTTTTAAATATTACACAACATAAAGTAAATATAAAAATTATAATATAATAAATTATAAGATTTATTATTTAAACTAAATGCATTTAGTGTAAAAAGAAAAATTGTAAAAACCGCCTACAACCCGCCTTGGCCGCCTAGAACCCACCTCAGCCGCCTAGTCCCGCCGAAACCGCGTAGCCGCCGAGGCCGCCTAGCTCCGCCTAGGCCCGACTAGGCGCTGCCGAGCCAAATCGTAGGTGTTGTACAGGCGCCTAGCGCCTAGGCGGCCGCCTAGGCCGACTTTTCGAAAACTGTAAAAATCCAGTACAACATTTACGCACAAAGTACATCGATATTAGACATTACTTCATTCGGAATTCGGTTGAAGATGGAATTATTGTATTAGATCATGTACCTACCGAAGATCAGCTTGCTGATATTTTTACACAAGCATTGGGCACACAACAATTCCTATCATTGGTAAAATCATTAGGAATATGTATTATGTAGTATGTTTGGCTGTTGCATTACATTATATTATATTATGTATAGTTGTAGTATCCCTCAATCAGTCACTTCATTCTGTCATTTATGTAAGTTCATTGCATTAGGCATCCAATTTTTCTTTTTTATGTTACTTCATCTCAAGGTTTCTCTAATATACCCGTACCTAGATGCATCATTGATGTTCATTATTTGAAGTTATTAGACTAAATCCTCTAATTGACCATGACGTAATGACTATTAAATTCTGATTGACCACGGCAGAATGACCATGAAATTTTGATTGAAAGAGCTCTACTCATAAAAATAAGCATCGGGCAACTATCACATGAGGTGCTTCATATGATCACCTGTGAAACGAGTTACATGCTTAAGAATAATTAAGGTATGAAAGCTACTGATAGTTGTTGCTTATACGATGTCAGTTCCTCAGGTGTATAAGTTGGCCACTCAATCTCTCTTGGCACAATAATGTCTTTAATAACTTTTTACGGGATAACCACATCCTAAAGTAGTGGGCTTGACTTTGGCTTATGAGGCATCGGTGTCTGAGATGGCCTGGAGAAGCCCAGGGGTGGGCTTGCTTTGAGCGGGTGTGTGTTTGTCTGCATGTCATCTAGGTTTTTTTTATAGAAATGTTGCTCGCCATGGCTGGATCTCCCAGATGGCTTTTTGAACAAAGTTCCAACAGACGACGCCAAATGGTGTGTAAAAGAATTTGGACAAGCTCAGTTCAACTTACATTGCCTTCTTTACCAATCAAATACATGTTTAACCTACAAAATGTGCCAAGAGGTGTTTCCAGGGTTAGCAGTCCGAGAATTAAGTATGTCACATGTGAAGACGGTGGACAATAGTGTATGTAAAGCTCTGTAAATGTAGTGAATAATGTTGCAATGGACATAAAACTATTCGAACTGCATGTTCGTATTGCCCATATTGCCCAATTCTGTTAGGTCACGTGACCCTATCCACGTGTGACTCTAATCTTAATAATATTCTTTCTTATCCATTAGAATGCCTTTTATACGCTATAATCTGCAACCGACTCAAATTACCTCGAGGTGGAGTGTTGCCTGTGCTGAGCTCGTATGCTCTACTCATTGGGTCGAACCATTGACCGTTCACTCCTTCCGGTCGAGTTCTTGTTGGATCCTATGAGGATCTCGATATGCACAAATCACGGATAAACATACAACATAAACCTATG